CCCCTCACAAGATTTTTAAAGGTTGGAAGTCAGGAGGCGGTGCAGGGTAATCACACGGGGAGTATTTGTGCGTTTCCACTGTCAGCAGGATCACTAAGCTTGACTGACACTGAAACACTGAAGGAGTAACCGTGTGCAGTCATTTTAGATGTAATAGATGGAAAAATCATGGATATGGGTAATTTAAAAATTTGTGTCACCTATCAGCCTGTCACCCAGGAGAAACGGAGCGGGCGCGAATGAAAGGAACAGTGTCATACAGTATAATATTAGTTCAGGACTCTGAATTTCAATTGAGAAATTATGTATTTGCTCTCTCTTAGCTTTACAGAAGAATTACAGTGTGTGGTGTGCCATGTGCAGGGAAGCTGTAATGTTTACAGTGCCTGTAACACAGTCATTGTCCATGAGTTTGAGTTTGATGAATTGCGATTTATCCCCTTTATGGCTTCAGTTAACGATTGCATCTTTGTGTGTGTGAACACAACACAAGTGGTGTTTCTTGGTAACAATAAAGTGAAAATGGCAGAAATAAACACGTTGAAGTGGGGGAATAAGGGAGCCGTCCAATAAAACCGAGAAACAAAAGGAAGCAAACTGAGGATGAAGCCACTTATCACAGCAACGATATAAGGACTCCAGCTGGCGCAGCCATATGCCTCATGAGGCAACATATTCTGCACAGTACATGCCACATACTGTCCTTGTTTTGTTTCTGTTTTTTTACACACATTCTTTTTCACAGCGCAGCACATCTGAACACCCACCGCCCCGATGAGGTCATGTGTTTGAGGGTTTTGCATAAGCTGTGCAGCACACGCTGCGTTCTGCTGTACCTTTGTTGTTTTTGTCTTAAATTTGATATGAAAATGTTAATAAAACACATTGGACTGTTGATCGAGTGAGATTTAATGAGTCACTGCGTTAATAAATACCCAGACCGCAGGCATTAGGAGACACTTTGATTTGGAGCTAGCACTCGAATGACTGGTGTCCGGGCTCGCACCCATGGGTCTAATTTGCCTCAGACTATGTCCAGATTGACAGATTGGCTACACAGAAGGTGTAGTGTGAGCAGCATGTCAGTGGAGCAGCAACAGCCGCTCTGCCCCTTTCCGGAGTTAGGAGGAGGAGGTGGGGGGGATCCATCCTTGTGTTATTATAAAGCACTCTAAGTGTTTTGGTGTTTAATAAGCCTTCACACTAATGGAACTGTTACCCAAACTGCACTTCCTGGATCACATTTTTTGTCATGGATAATTGAAGAAACACATTTTTGTTTTGTGTGTGTTTTCTTTCTGAATGCTGATTACATGTAAATTAGTCTCTACTGAACAGTGTGTATAAATGTGCGAGCTCAACCAAAGAGGTAACGAGTAGTAGCCACTGAATATGTACTAGTGGACGGCTCGGGTGTATTGCTTCTTGCATGATAGACACTGTATTAACTTAATTTTTTTTTTTTTTATATTTTGGGGTGTTCAACCTCCTTATTACTACAGCAGCAGGTTGTGTGTTTAGAGGGCCGAGCATTACCAACTGGATATAGTTAAGACTACGTCTAAGCACGGCTCTCTTTCTGGAGCCCCACCAGGGCTGGAGTTGCTCTGAGTCAAAGTTGCTGCCAGCGTTCCTGTCTGACAACCCAATAACACGGTGCTGGATGCCGAAGGAATCTGTCAAACCAAAGTACAAGGATTTCTGGGCTTGGCTGACAAATAAAACAGGTGAGGAAAAAAGAGAACCTGCTGGTGCTACTGTAGAACAGACTGTAAGAAGAGTCTACGGGGTTATTAGATGAGAGTTAACCTATACACTGTACGTTTCCATTTTGCAACAGAGGAAAAATGTCTGGCACGTTATGGTTCTCTTGTCATTTCTAGTTCATTTTGAACAGTGACTTTTTCTTTTTTGTTTTTTTGCTATTACCTTCATTACCAAATGCTCTTTCCTGTCTTGACATGCTCTGTCAGGCCTTTACTGCAGCTTCAGTAGCTGCTTGTTTGACCTTCCCCTCCATATTAGACAAGCGTCATCAGTGCAGGTCTTTCAGTCCAGATTGAAAACCTATTTTTATTCCCTGGCTTTAAAATCTCTAGGAAACGGAAACCTTTCTTATTAATTTTATTGTATTTTGAATTCTTTTATTGTATTTTTAATTTCGCTAGTTGTTTTTGATCTGATGACGATGATGAGTCTCTGCCTCCGATTTTGTATTTGTGTTTCTAAGACTAAACTGTGCACACTCCAGATTTCAGTTCCTGAAGCCATCTCTTGGTTGTAGACAGCAACATGCCTCCTGCAGTGTGTTCTGGAAATGGTTGGATGATAGGAAGTTGTTTTTCTCTTAACCATGGATATCATTTTATTATCATTCACTTTAGTTTTATTCTGTGGTCTTTCAGACCTTTTGGTAAGCTGATCAGTGCATTCCTTCTTTTTAATTATGTAACTAAAGTTCTTGTTACCTGATTTTATTTCGGTTTTTCAGCCTAATGATGGCATCTCCTTGGGTCTCATCTTGATACCAAATACAAGTTCAGCACTTGGAATCACCGACAGATCTTTTATCATTGTGTTTTTGTACTTAGTACACAATACCTTTGAATTTTGTTACAATAAAATATAGATTTGTGTAGAAAATCAATTAGAAAAATCAAGTTGACTCCACATGCATTTAGTCTTATTTAAATACTTTGGCATAGATAAGTTGTGTTAATTCACCAGATTTCAACCTCGTGGGACAGAATTACACAATAAAATCAAGCAAAAGCACAAAACTCATTTTCAGTTGATTGACTTCACAGATCTTTTGTCTGAAATAATGGGGAGCAGGCTTCACCTCGCCTGTTTTTCAATTACAAGTCCAATTCCCTTTGAGCCTATAAAAATGGGGGACTATGCAGGAAAGTAATGTTACTTTTTAAATGGCTTGAATTAAAGCTGAACGCCTGCATTTCAATCCTATACAATTGATTTGGAATGCACTGCTATAGTGCACAGAAGTAAAACTACCAAACATGTCATTTTTCAAAAACTTGTGTATGTCCCAGTAGATCCACTGTTGCATTGGGGGACACTTATATGAAACCTGTCCAAAGTGTTCAGACTCCCCTAATCACCGTTTTCCTTACACGGGTCTCTCTTTTTCAGCTTTCCTGGCCACGCCACCGGCACACACCTGTTGACTCTGCATGTACGTTTGAATGAATCAAATAGGAGGAGGATATTTTCTTCGACACAGCCACTGTGGGCAAAGAACAGTTTCGTTTCTGTCTTTGAATTTTAATTTCTGTTGTTTTTTCAGTCACGATGTCATTAGTAGCCTTCAGAGTGTTGTTGTGCTTAGACAATGGCTTTTTGCTCCAGGCAAAAAAGAGAAGATATGTTTAAAACTCCTTTTTTTTAGGTTTTGTTTGCTTGTAATCAGCTGGAACCATGGTTAGCTCTAGTTTACCACCGAGAATTACCTGAAGCACAGCTAATAAAAGAATGATTGCTTCCTAATCCTTAGTGCATCGCTACAACATTAAGTGTACATCAGAATAAAAGAAAAACAGCAAAAGCAGTGAACATCTCAATCGACCACATTATTTCCATTATTATTATAATCCTTCGCTACCTGCTAAACTACAACCCCCTCACGCTCTTTCATCTTCCTGCTCCCCTACGCTCTTTTATTCATTCCTTTATCTTTATTTCATCAGCCCATCATCTCAGAGTCGAAAAACAATTAGCACAACCCTTGATATCTCATTAACTATAAATGAGATGGTGGAGTGAGGTTAAAAATTCCATAGCTGAGCTGTGCGCCGTGCATCAGATTGCACTGGCGCGCCAAACCTCATCACACAGTAAACAATCCATTTGAAAGGTGTATTTTTAAAGGAAAATACGCAGCGGAAATCATCTCAAGGCAGCACTAAATCTTTAAAAGCAATTCTTTTGCATGATTAATTTATCTTTAAAAAAAAATTTTCAAGTAAAGGAGTGGTACTTCAACTTCATCTTTTCAGCTTTATTTTTTGTAAACCACAGAGAAATATTGATGAGACCTGCTGACGAGAGACATGCCCGCTACAGAGGGGAGTCTCAGCTGGAAACTAGAGGGAGCCTTATGGGACAGTAAAAGAGGAGAGAGAGAAAGAAGCTGCCACTTTGTTCTTTCATCTCATCCCTCTTTCCCCCCTCTCTCTCTCTCTGTCTATACCTTCCTCACTAAACTCTCCATCTGCCAGCTTCCACTCGCACAGGAAGCTCTGCATCATTTTCTCTGAAGTGAGTCTTTCTCCCAGTGCTTCCTCCAGTCTCCAGCTCTCTCCTTCACTGTAGTCCCAGCAGAGAGAGAGAGAGAGAGTGCAGCTGTCATGCTTTAGTTCAGATCTGAGCTTCTTCTCCTCGGGTTCCCCCCTAGAGTAGAAACAGCAGGATACTGTATTCACTGAGTAAGGTGTGCGTGTGTGTGTGTGTGTGTGTGTGTGCGAGGGCATTCATGTATTCTTACAGTATCGT